GTATGGTTCGGTCCAAAAGTTTTCAATTCTATTTGATGTTTTTTTTTATAATATTTCAATGCCTGAGAATATTCGCCTTGATCTTTGTACACGGTACCAATGTTGTTGTACGTTATTGCAACACTTGGATGGTTCGGTCCCAAAGTCGTCAAGTCGATTTCAAGACTTTGCTCATAATATTTCAATGCCTGAGAATATTCGCCTTGATCTTTGTACACGGTACCAATGTTGTTGTACGTCTTTGCAACACTTGGATGGTTCGGTCCCAAAATCTTCAATCGAATTTCAAGACTTTGCTCATAATATTTCAATGCCTGAGAGTATTCGCCTTGATCATTGTATACGCCACCAATGTTGTTGTACGTTATGGCAACAATTGAATGATTCGGTCCCAAAGTCTTCAATCGAATTTCAAGACTTTGCTCATAATATTTCAATGCCTGAGAATATTGGCCTTGATCATTGTAAACTAGTCCAATATTGTTGTAAAATGTGCTCATGACAGGGTCATTGGGCAACGTATCATTTATTAATCGTGTGAAATACCGTTCAGCTTTAGCGTATTCACCCATTTCTCTTAATAGATGTCCTAACGTTAGTAAATCAGATGAGCCATCAGTTTCCTCTCTTATCTGTTCACTCAGCACTTTCAACTGTTCATCGCTTTCACTGTTCAGCAACAATTTTACACTCCAGATTCCCGTGTCAGTTGCTTTTTCGACAGATTTTATTCGAAATATGGTCCCCATGGAAAAAAGTATTTCATCTTCGTCGTTCATAACACTTAATTCTTTTATATTACCGTAAGGTTTTGTGTCAATACTCGTATTAATCTGTATTTCAAACAGAATAGATTCAAGAATGGGACTGAACGAACCGTCACCAGCATGGATTGAGGCTACAGCTTTTTCACATGTTGTTGATATGAAAGTATTCATTGAAATTAGTCGACCAATATTGTCTTTTAGCTCATGTAATTCATCAGCTTTTAAATGCTGTCCTCGATAGACCGTTAGAAAGTATTCGTCATCCGTGAAACGTTCCATGAATTTTGAATATTCTTTTTGCAATTGTCGATAAAGATCAGCGATGAAAAATCGAAATTTAAATATAATATCAATATCTCTTGTTCGAAGAGCTTTATTTAAGAGGCGATATACAAATGAATCACGCGTGTACCACGACACGGCTGCATCAAACGAATAATTCAGACGAAAATCATTTATCTTTTCGAGTTCTTTAGCATTGTCTCTGTAATAAGATTCACATTCAGTTAACATTTCCATTTTCGATTCGTCAGATGTTGGCATGCGAAGTAGAACATCCATTAACAATTGATTCCACATAAATACAGCGCTTTCTTTGTCTAAATCACGAATTGATTTTTCATGGTGCGACAAACCAAATACATTCATTGGCATCATGTCGTTTGATAAAACTTTAGCATCCTCAGCTATCTGAATAAGAAGAAAGTCTTTATGAGTAAAAACGCCACGAATTTTATTTTGATTATTTAGTACATGATTAGACCATGTTTCGTGCTTAATTTTGTTTAGACAAAATATGTAGATAAATGTAATTTGAGATAGTTCGAAAATGAGAGGAGCGATGATTTCACCGAATGAACCAGACAGAATTAGCAACACTTGTTCCATTTTAATTGATGAGATATAATCGATACATTCATCAGCGTCACAAAACGTTCTTAAATGATTAGCAATGGTTCTTAAACGCTTTTTTGTGTCGTGGCAATCATCTGTTTTATCTATATCAGCGTCAAGCCAAACAACAGTAAAATTTTCAAGATTGTTATCGTGGAACAGATGTGTCGCTGGTTCTCGAGGGAACATCGTTTTCGTTACCTAGAGTGTAAAACGAGAACTGCTGAAGGATTGTTGTGACATTTCCAACATATTTTTGAGAATATGCTATTTACTTAAGCCTGTATCACATTGCTTGTAGATGTTTCAGTCATGATGTGCTAAGGAAAATATCTTGTGTGGTAGAGGATGTGAAGCTGACTCTCAGTAAGCGATTCATTAGGGCGATCTCATTGTGAATGAAATTCAGTGTGTTCTAATCGAACAGTGTGTCCTAAACCAATAATCAAGTAAACCGTTGAATTTAGTCGGGAACTAAGTGACACCCTAGTAGAACTTCTTGATCCAAGAAGCTGCAAGAAAGCAAGAAAAAAACAAGAATAGTTCTTGCTTTTATCCTATTGTCAGTTGAATTTCGGTTATAAGAAAAGCACGGCTTCTTGCGAAAGATACACGTGTATTTGTTGCTAAATATATTTAGGTTATACACTTTCTAACGTTTATGAACGTGAAAGAATTTATATACCCATTATTATCTGTATATAACTTATATCCCAGACACATGTGTAATTCAAGATATTTACATTTATTCTTCTCATTTTAAACGGGACGAGAAAACAGTGTCAGGCACTTATTTCTTGCAACGGTCTTGAGACCATTTTTTTTATTATATTCGAATTATTTACAGTTTATATTTACTTTTTTAATATTTTTAAAGTAGAATTAAATAAAAAATAACTAATTTATAGAGTAAGTACACAGCAATTTCAGTGAATGAGAGAATAGGGACACAAATCCTGTCTACTTTACTCTCGCACAGTTAAATGATGAAATCTGAAGGTTATCTCGATGTATAGGCTCAATCAACGTTTACTGTGCGAAGATCTCAAAATAAAAATGCACAGAAGTAACAAATGCAGTTCGGTTCTGTTTGACGCATAGAGGATTAGGGCTCAGCCTTTCCGCCTCATTCACAGGACATTAGATTGGCTCTAATAACGAACTGATCCTAGCGATAATATCTACGGGTACACTACACATTCTCTGACAGTCCAAGCGTGAATGTTATCTTCACACACGGCAAACGTTACCTTATCGGTAATATTGACACGTGAACCGCAAAACATCAATCGCTCTCACTTTTATTTTGAGCTCGAATACCCGTTATATGTCGAACCTTAATTGAGAAATATAGAACATAAGTGTAAGGGAGATGGGTGACGCATTTCTAGAGTGAGTTTCAAGTTGAACTAGTCAAACTTACATTTTCAGTTCTGTGTTGGCGATTTTAAAATTTGAGTTTGACGACAACAGAAATACAGAAATCGGCGTCCTTCTCACTTAGCTAATTGTTTTCAGTCTATTGTACGAGTTTATGAAGATGCACTGGTCGATGTAAAGTTTAGTTTTTCTACATTTGTTGTTCCAACAACGGCGCCACAAAATATTTCCTAGTCGAGATAAGCGCTAATTTACTTCTGTCGCTCAGGCAGAAATAGAAATAGATAAAAACAATAGGTTTTATACTTCGAAATGATTCATAATTCTGAAAATGATAATGACTTAGTAATGTGTGGAAAAAACAGCAATGTATTCCACTTTTGACCAGATCCTTCGATTAGGTCAACAATTTCCTTGAACTATTTGCGCGTAGTGGCAGTGTTGGATATAGCACCTAGAAACTAACGTATTCAGCGATATTGTCAGAATATAGTTTCGATGCATAAGCACATAAACTGAGGATGATGACGAAAACAGAATAAAAGTATTACAAATCGTTATTC